GTTATTTGTTAGAATACCAAAGAAGCTCACCTAGAGAATGACTAAGTTGTGAAAGAAAAATCTCCGTTGGTTTGGAAATGAATTATTTCTAGGATGTTTCTCCGTGAGTCTTTGTTACAGAAATTGGAGTTTGAGCAGGTAATTGGTGATCGGGAAACAACCACCCTGGGGACAATTGCAGGCAATTCTGTGACCACTTGGCTTAACTTGAATTCTTGGAAGTAGAGCTTCTCTTAGGTTAATCAAAGGTTTCATGGTACACCTTGTGGCTCTTTTCTTTATTCCTGATTTTTCCTCCCAGGCTTGTGAATAAGGCTTCAGTTATGTTTCTCCCGCCAAGACTGCCAGCCGCCCCACCTGCTGAGCTTGAAGGCGGAGGCTTGCAGCCTGAGGACAGTGTGACAGTCTGCTGCCATCTGCTGGCTCGTGCGTCAGCAGCTCCAGCCTGGCTTTGTGAGGATTCCCCAGGAATGGAAACCACCAGGAGAATAACTGTGGGGCAGAGAACGTTCCTGCTTATATTGAAAAACAAAGAGATGAGAGGATGGCAGACAGAAGCCGATATAAGAAGGCTTGTTCCCTCCTGGGAGTTTGTGTGAAGATGTGACCATCTCAAACAGCAAGCCAGTGATATTTCTATACAGATGTGTTTTGCTCAGGGAGAATACAGCAGTGCTTTCTTAAAAAATTATTTTATTTAGATCACTGTCTCACAAGGCCAAATAAATAAATTAATGTCACATCTCTATAGATTCATTTAAAGAAAACAGCAGAAACGCAATGCAGTGGGGTCTGAGGTGGGTATAGGAAGGCAGAGAGGGGAGGGACTGGAGAAACGTTTCACAGTAAGTTCCAGTATATTTTAGTTGGTTCTGTCCACATTTTGGAGACCTGCTATTTACAGGCTCTGCCCCAGATGCCTGGGATCCAAAAATAGTAATACTCAGTAATATTGAGTCCCTTCTGGCTTGGTGATAACAATGTATTGGGGAGCAGTACAGAATTAAAATAAAATAGAGAATTAAAATAGAAGTCCAAGTACTGTGATAAAGTACTATAGTAAAGGAATCTAGGGGAGCACAGAAGAGGAGCGTGTATCAAGATCAAACTAGACTGCAGTGTCAGAGAGGTCGTGCTAGGGGAGATGGCATGAAGTGAATTTTGAAGATACTGGCTTGATGGAGACCATGATGGGAAAGACATTCTAATTATGGAAAGCGCCGCTTCTGATACAGCCCATCACCTACCATCACTGCCTGCAGGAGCTGAGAACACTAGACACAAAGCAAGAGAAGGCTGTTAAAATATTAGGTCTCAGATGAGCAATTGGTTCAGTCCAGGGATATTGGCAGAGGCAGGGAGAAGCAGGCAGATCCAAGTGAGCAGGCAGCACAAATCGTCCTGAAGGGCAGACAGCGAGCTCGGAGGGATCTCTGGTCCCAGGGAAAAGGCCACTTTCAATGCCATTTCTATAGGTTGGATATGAGCCACCCCTTCCAGACAGGTATAAGTCACAATCAAATATTCAGAAACTTGTGTGTAACTTCCTCTCTTAATGTATCTGAAACTTCCGTGTGACCTCATTTAAATGTTGAAGTAGCTACAAGCTCAAAGGTATCAACTGCAACATTATTCAGAATTGCAAATATGAAAAGCAAGAGTAGAGAAAATTCTTGAGAAAACTGTGATACAGCAACTGAATGAAGCAGCTCATGGAAAATGCTAATTCTGAAAACTATAGCACACATCAAATACTTGTGAAAAACATCAAGATTCAAACCTGCAGAAAAAAAAAATTCAGAATAGAAAAAAACAAACTACTAGTAATGATACTGTTCTTTTCTCTATTGTCTATGTTTTCTATAATATTCTTCTATTTATTTTATAATGATTTTTTAAAATATATAATAGCCTCAAGGTGAAATGTGTGTCCTGATGAAGGCACAGGCAAAAATTACCCTAAACAAATAATGGTCCTATTTATGTTTTTGTTTCTGCTACTGTAGATTTCATTTTCTTCCTAATTGTATTTCAGTGTGTGTGGTATATTCATTTTGCTTATTAAGCCTGTCCTCAGTCTTCCCCTTGCCCACACCCCTTCTCACTCCCTGGATCTGTGGGACGTATTGTGATGTCTGCCTGCTAATTTTGCTGTGACTGGGGCTGGTGTCTGGTCGGTGATTCATGTTTGTTCCAAAGCTGTATATCTGTGTTGGTTGCTTTGAAGCAGTGCCCCAGGGAATATGAAAGGCCATTTGTCTCCCTAAGACTGCTTCTCTGCTTCTTTGCATCAGAGACTTCTTCCCTGGCTTCTTTTAAATTCCAGCAAGCTCTCCTGTGAGTTTAAGTAGGGTAAGAAGGAAAGAAAACAAAAGCAAAGAGAAGCAACATGGAGAGAGCTGTGGAGTTAGGGTCTTACCTTAGTTTATCTGGCAGAAGTGAACTTCTTGGATTCTAATAGTAGGGACAGAATGCCTGTGACTTTCACTTTAAGAGTAATGCTTTGTGTACTTACCCTCTGCCCACTAGGAATGCCTTTAGCAAAAAAGAAGGCAGGATGAGCCGTGGTGGAAACCCTCAATGGAAAGAGTTCTGAGAGCTCGGTGGGCATACCCACTTGGCACCTCCTCTAAGATTTTAGCACAGATATACACAGCAGTGGTATTCATAATATTTAATGGCTGGCACTGCATGAGCACTGACAAATTAATGGACACAGACACAGTGCTTTCAGACACCAGTCCTTTAGTTACTGAATCACTGGGAAGTCCAGCTGATCCTGGAGGGCCTGGAGCAGTGGCTGGATGCTAAACTGTTTAAAAAGTATGTTAGTGTTTTAATATCCAGATGTACAGATACATACCAGATGAATAACAACATGAATACATGAAATTTCTAAACTCAGACCCACCATTAAGCTTTGTGTAATCCCCCCTGTTACTTTTTAAGAATCTACATACTTTGCCATTAAAAAGTTTCAGAGCCCATGACCCAGTGGTTCTATGGGATTTAGGTGGCACATAAGAAAGCTCTTATCCACAAAGGGGCTCTATTTTGCCATCAGCTACTGCAGGTCTCACCTAAGAAGTGTTCGCAAGTCACTTCTTTATATTTTTGCTTGCTGCAATGTATGTGACTAACAGCAGAGTTCTGCCAGGCAGGCTGGCACACAGGCTGGTAGTATGAGCGCCTGCCCACCTGCCTGTCTACCTGCAGTCTTTGAAAGGCAGCCCCATCCCAGATTGTTAGCCTACTGAGAAATTCCATCTGTAGTACCTTGAAAGACCATACACATATTGGATTGTTGTAGCTTTTCCTTGGCCTTTCACTCAGATGTTATCACTTGCTGCTTCTTATCAGGCACCTGGAGTTTGTGGGTTGTCCAAAAGCAGCTTCTCAGGATGGTCTCTGGGGAAGCATTATAACCCTACCTTCTGTCATTTCTTGTCCTCATATTTCAAGGAAACCTACAGCTTCAGGGTAATTTGCCACCTCCCTGTTTTCATTTAAGATAGAAGCCAAGGTTGCTTATAGTCTAACCAACTCTTTATGTACCAAATTCTTTTGGTTGTACACGGAGGCTACAGGGGAATTTCATTCAGTTATTCATTGGGCCATTCAGGAGCTATGTCATTAGGAAAGTCTGAGATTGTAAAGAAATTAGTTTGGAAAACATGAGTCTTCTAATTCTGCTCTACGAGTTACTAGCCTATGACTTTGAGCAAGGTATTTACATCTTGCTAAGCCTCATTTACCCCAAATGTAGACTGGGATCACTTTATATACTTCATAGGGTTGTTAGGATTAAATGGGATAATGTATTGGGAAGCACTTTGTAAAGTGAAGAAATATTAGCAAAATGTACCCAAATGGAGCAGGTTGTAAGAACTAGTGAAAGGCAAGAACCAAGAATGTAGACATAAATTACGGCAGCTGAATTAGTATACAAGAAGTTCACTGCTGTGGTCTGATTTGGAAGAGAGCATTCTCAGCCCCATATCTTTTGTTCAACATCTCTCTTCAAAGCTTTAGCTTGGGAGCAGTGAGAGTTTTGGAGAAACACTAGGGAATAGGGTTACTGTCAATTTGAGGCTAAGATAAATTGTGTGTGCAGGGAAAAATGCATATGTAATGATAAAGGAGAATGTGAGAAGGGCACAGTGCCCAGGGAAATACCAGGAGTGGGGATACAGAAAACAAGAGACAAAATCTCTACTGCTCCCATCTGTGTGTTTGTTGATTAGAGCTTGTTCAAGCCATTCTGGGCTTGAGGGCGCCTTTCTAGAGTGAGGAAGACTGATGAGAAACCTCATGGCACTCTTCTGCGGGAGCCAGTGAATGCACCCTCCCCCAGAGACAAAGCTCTGCAGCCTTGGAGACTAATTTGGTGTTATCAGATTAATTAAGTCATTTTCTGTGGTTAAATTTGCAGATGAATATTAAATCTCAGGTTGGGCCTCCCATCTAATCAGCCAGCGGAGGTTGTCAGGATGACACTTTGTTCCTGAAATATTTAGAAATATGTGTATTGTATATTTAATGAGACTGTGATATTTATTCACGACAGGAAGAAGTCTTACAGCCAGGAAGCCTTATTCATGTGATTGTTCAGTGTCTGACACCTAGAGCTGTGCTGAATTCCCCTCTAGAGTTGCTTATTATCACCAAGTTCTTGTATGGGTGACACCAATGCTTAATTTGTCAAAGTTGCTCCTGTCACTGAAAGGCCATGGAGTTTGCTCCTGGGTGCAAGTTCTGGCTCCATTATTTGCTAATGGTGGGCATGGGTAAATAACTGAACTTCCTTGAGACTCAGTTTCCTATACATAAAATGAGAACAATGATTGCAACTCCAAGCTGTTTTGAGGATTAAAACGGTACATACAGTTTTATGTAAAATGCTTAGCATATAGTACCTGCGACACATTGGTTCTCAGTGTATCCTATGTGTCCTCCTCCACAGTCATCGTGTGACCAGACTTTCCTGCTTTCTCTTTAAGCTTTGATGTGGAAAATGGCCCTTCCCCAGGTCGGAGTCCACTGGATCCCCAGGCCAGCTCTTCCTCTGGGCTGGTACTTCACACCACCTTTCCTGGGCACAGCCAGCGCAGAGAGTCATTTCTCTACAGATCAGACAGTGACTATGACTTGTCACCAAAGGCGATGTCGAGAAACTCTTCGCTTCCAAGTGAGCAGTAAGTACAGGCTCTGTCTGGCTTCCAGTCTCACACTTACCTCATCTCTAGCCTTGTCACAGTGGCAGCAGCAATAGTTCCCCTTTAATCCACGGGAAGGATGGAGGAAGAACATGAATATGAGCAGGAGTGACATGATGACCATTTTAAGGACATTAATGCTCCACAGCATGAGGAATAGGCAGCTGGATGTTAAAAAGGGTGTTAAAAAAAACCCAGGCACAGTGTTCAGTTTACATGTTAGTGATGCCTTCAAACATTTTTTATTTTGCTTCATTTCCTGAATCGCTGAGTCATTTACAACATGAGAACCTTAACACATTTTATACCTCACACTTGAATTTTCAGCTGCATACGCAGTTTTCATGAGGCTCCAGCAAAGAAGAAAAATGGTGCCTGGTTACATGCGTGCTGTCTCAGTGGCCTTTGCTTGGTGACTTTAATAAGCTGCCATTTGGCCACATGCCTGTGTCCCTTCTCTGGAACCTTAACACAATGCCCACTTGTTGCCTGGCTCCTTGGTAAGACACAGCACACTCCACCACACTATGAAGCACAGCTGATATTTCTGTTTTGCCGCTATTAATTGTATATTTCTTAATTTTTATTTAAAGAACAAGGACTAGGTTGTGTCATCCATTTATTAAATTTCCAAAACCAAATAAAATTGGAAACTGGAATTCATGCCTTAAAAGGTTTCTGGGCACAGATACAATGGTTTTTAATATTATATGTCATAAAAGTATCAGTAGTTCCCTAAAGTCTCCAGTTTGGAAAATTCCACTGGATTCTCTACTGCTCTTGAAAAGGAAGTCAAAAAGTTTCACCCTCTTGTGAAAGGAGCAGGGGGCATTTTGAAGCTACCAGCAAAAAAAAAATATTCCTCATGGCATTTCCGCCAGCACATTTTTATAGAAGCACCCCTGCCCTAAAATATCTCAATCATTGTGTGGGCACAAATTCATTTTTCAGTCATTTGGCAAATATTTACTGATTCTCTCCTATGTGCCATACATTGTGCCAATCTCTGGTGATAGAAGACAAACAAAACAGTGTAAAAATTACAGATGAGCTAAAAGCATATCTCATTCTCAGCTAAATAGGAAAGATAAGAGAGACACACACACATACACACATAACAGAGTGGAAGGACATTAACGTTTAATGAGCACTTCCTGTGGAGCTGAATTCATGTCCTACGTTATCTCTGTTCATCTTCACAGCACCCCTGTCAGGTAGGTGCCCTTATTATCCCCACTCTACAGATGATGAAACTGGGATTTTAAGAGATTGGGAAACTTGTCCCTATCCCATGACTGTATATCATGCTGTGTCCCATGATGTAGCTAAAGATGATCATATTAAAAACTTTTGGAATCTTTCCATCCATGTTCTTCAGTTTACGAAGTGGCATCTCTACCGCTAGGTAGAAAACAAGTGACTGCAGAGTAGAGGTGTCTGAAGCTGGAGGATAGGTAGATAGCCAGCCATTTTGCTGCAGATCTTGTAGAATCCAAGGCATTTCTGACAAAAGTTTGGATGGGGGTCTTTGAATGCTAAGGTATTGGGAATTCTTTCCTTCACCAAGATAAACACGTTTCTAGGCTTTATCGTAGGGGAGCGTAGGTCATGTGGTGAACTCAAAGTAGATAGAGCTTAATTCACATTGTATTTTGCAGGGGAAAGACTAGCTTTGAAATCTTTTCATTCCCCAAACTAATTCCCTGGAGAAGAGTTCTCTAGACTCAAGCCAAGAGGCATAAAGATCCTTCAGAGTCTCCCCAGAAAATCTACCCCAATTCCAGCTTAACTCTTGTGTTTCATTATTTGAAATAAAAAGTTACAGAAATGTTAAACTTGAAGAGTCCTTAAAGATCACAATCCAACTCAGTCTGCAGCAGTCAAAACAGAGATACAATTCTAAATGACTCTCCATCCAGCATCCTTGTTACTAGTAGTTTACTCTCCTTTCAACTTTACTGGTCAGTAAAATTTCCCCCTGTATCTTTAGAACCTAAATTTTCCAACTTCAAATGTAGGCAAGTAAAAATTACATATGTAAATTATCTAATATCATTCTCACTTTGTAAAGAGAAGGACTTAGATAAAAAGTAGCATGGGTACAATTTCATAATAAAAAACAGCCTTTCCCAAGAAAACACAGTTGGTAACATAATACCACCCTACCAAAAATAGTTATAACAGGATATAGTAAAATATTTGTGTGAATAAAAATAGCACAAGATTTTGTTTTTCAAATATTTCAGTAGCACAGAAAAAAAACTTCCATATATTTATCAGTTTTGGAGTTTATATTTCACAACACACTGAGAAGTAGAGTTTGAATAATATCAAGCTTCTTCTAGTAATTTAATTTTATGTCGGCAAGTCCAGTTTCACACCAGTATCTGAATCTGAACTAAAGTAATGCTCTTAAAGCTATTTCACCTGATTATTAACCCTTTAAGATAAATTGAAACAGAGGAGCAGCACCCCTAAGCTTCTCACTCCTTTTCTTGCCTTCTACACATAGATCCAGGAAGAAGAAAGATGATAATAGACCAAGAGTCTAGATGTGAAGGCCATTGGGTGGGGACTGCAGGATGGTCCTTGCTCACAAGGTCCTCATATTCAGCACAGAGCTGTCATGAATTTTGTATGAAAGGTGGAAAACTCTCCATAATTCCACTGCATTAAATCCTAGTAATAAAGGAAATACTAGTAATAAAGGAAATTTTAAATTTTTCTCATCTGAACTTTTTCAGAAAAGTAAGAGAAAATATAATCAGGGGGGAATGAGTGAAAAGATATTACGAGTAAAAAGGCGAACAAGAAAAAATACAAGTGGCTTTAACTTTGAGCAATGAAGGAGAGATCAGAATGAGGCTTTATAGTAAAGTAAAGCAAGATCACCCTTGGATCCCAAAAGGAAATTTCAGATGCTTTCCTAGATGTGGCAATAGTTTGTTGGTTTCTGTTCAGTTCCTGTGTTGTAGTCATACCAAACGTAATGCCTTCATATACTGAGGTACAGATTGCCTCATGGGAACATAAAGTACAGGAAACTTACCAGGCCAGTTTTATTGCTGAAAACTGTGGTAGGAACCACCATGGACAGGATGGAGTTTTGATTATCCACCTGCAAAGCCACAGGAAAGGACACTCCATGTTTTTTTCATTTGGTCATCCCATTTTGCAAAGCTTTACATAGACAAGAAGCTTTTGAAAGCCACCATTTACATGTGGACTAAGTGGTCTCTAGAGAGATCTGTCAAGGGAAATGAGACATAAGAACCAAGAGGAAAAGCAGAAATAACAACCCACTTAAATTTAAAACCTGTTTATCGATAGACCACCAAAAAGTGCAGTGTAGTTTCTAAGACTTGAGTTAAACTTACAGCCATCACATTTGCTAGCACCATGGCTTTTAAAACATTGAATTGATTTTATTATTTCTAAATTATCTGAAAATAAAAGCACACAATTATAGAGTATTGTCTGTATGCTATGTGTTAAAGTGCTTTACATTTTTTTTTTTTGAGGCAGAGTCTCACTCTGTCGCCCAGGCTAGAGTGCAATGGCGCGATCTTGGCTCACTGCAACCTCTGCCTCCTGGGTTCAGGTGATTCTCCTGCCTCGACCTCCTGAGTAGCTGGGATTACAGGCACGTGCCACCATGCCTGGCTAATTTTTCTGTAATTTTTAGTAGACATGGGGTTTCACCATCTTGGCCAGGCTGGCCTTGAACGCCTGTCCTCGTGATCCACCCGCCTTGGCCTCCCAAAGTGCTGGGATGACAGGCATGAACCACCGCACCAGCATTACATATGTTAATTCATTTAACCTCCATATCCCCAACGTGGTAGGTACTATAACTTTCTTGTTTTAAAGATGAGGGCATTGGGGCACAGAGAAGTTAAATGACTTCACCAATAATGGGAACAAGGCTTGAACCCAAGGAGTCTAGATAGTAAACTAAATGGATATCCAATATGTAAATAGACTCTAAATGAGGCTGAAAAATAAAAAAAATAATAATGCTATGGATCTCTGTTCTGCCTACCTTTCCAGCTGTTAAGAAGATCGTTTTCATTCTCTCTTTTGATAAACACATAAATTTAGGAACTTCACTAACAAGTAAGACAGTTTCTGTGTCTTCAAGGTTACTAAAAGATTAGTAGGCCAATAGGCAGTTTTAGTAGCTTCAGGTAAGAGCAGGCATAGAGAGCTATGCACTGGTTTGAAAGGTCTGGCCAGGCACAGAGAGCAGCCCACTTTGAGGAGGTTCCAGCTCAGCTAGAGCAGTCAGGCAGGCAGAAAGACATGCAGGAGGTGAGGTCAGGCACTAACTAATTCTCCAGTTAGGGCAGGAACATTTTGGAGAACCACAGCTCAGTGTGGTTGATCCAGAGGATATGAGAGGATGAGGAAGTGGTGAAAAACGAGACTGGAAAAGTGAGCAGGAACTTTATCATGAAGAGCCTATGTTAATGAATTGGCCTTCATGCTGTTAGCAGGGGAGTGCTTCTAAGCACTTTTAAGCAGATAAATAGGTAATGCAACTTTTTTTTTTTATAATAGCTCTGATTGCAGTATAAAAAAAGGTTTGGAGGGTAGAGAAGCTTAAAGACTAGTATTCAAACCTACACAGCCAAATGGGAGGCTGCTGTGATATTTATGTAAAAGAGGACGGGGGTTTATACTACAGACGATCTAGTGAGCAGATAATAGATATTTGCGAGTCAGGATCTGCAGGAGTTAGTGTTTGATTGTAGGATAAGGGAGAGGGAGGTTTCAGGCTTGGTCAAGAAGATAGGTGGTTGCTCCTGGGATCAGGAGCATTCTCTTGCTACATGAAGTAATATACATGATAGTGCTTTGCAAACTGTAAATATAACATAAATACGAGTCCTCTTGATTGCAATGGACAGACATGAATATTTTAAAGGAACTCTCATCATCTGGAAATACAGACATGCAACCCTTTAATTACAGAAACC